TTGATAACTTATAAATTATTATTTTCATATCTTACACTGTCTGCAGTCTCAATGTTTCTTTCTAAGGACTCTGCTTTTGATGTCAAGTCTAAGAACACTTTGCTTAACCCCAGAACCTAAGGATTTTCACCTCTGTGTTTTTCTAAACATTTTAGAGTTTTACACCTTACATTTAAGTTCATGATCCACTTTTCAATTAATTTTTCATATGGGGTATACGATTTATATCAAGGTTCATGTGGGGGAAGGGTGTCTTTGATGTCCAATTATTTTAGCTCTATTGATAGAAATGTTGCAATTCTTTCATTGCATTACTTCTGCATTTTGTCAGAAATCAGTTCGGCCTAATTGTAAGGGTGTATTTCTGGGATCTTTATTCTTTCCGATTGATTGATGTATGTTGTTAGTTGTTGTCAAGTCTGTGCCACTTAGTACTTTCTCCCTAGTTGCTTTCTTGTATTCATTAATTCCCTAGCCTTCATATGTGGGGTACGTATTTATGTGTATTTACAACCCTAACTTCACTCCTGATTCCACATCGTACTTCCAGTTGTCCTTTGGACTGTCCTAGAAATCCAGAAAACCAAGTCACTCACTCACCATGCATGGACTTGATACTGACTCGTGTTGACAACCATAGGTGTTAGCATGGAATTGTGCTCCATATGGTTTTCATTGGCTGGTTTTTCTGAAGTAGATTTCAATCCTGTTTTTGAGGTACCCCTAGGTGGGCTCAAAATGCCAACCCTTTGGTAATTATTTGAGCACATTAAACCTTTTCAATACTTAGGATCTCTGACTGTCCCATAGACCCCCCTCAAGCTCAACAGACATGAAACTTAAAGTACTAATCTCCCTCCCCAATCATAGTTTCTCATGTATTTCCCAACTTGATTCATGTCTCTCTCACCTCCATATTTATCTTATATATCTTACATAACTCCATTTCCTCAATAACTTTAGTATTTGTCTTCTTCTTACATTACCACCTACCTGCTTCGACCAGTCATTATTTCTTCGCATCCTATTGATAACGCTTCTTTTGTAGTCCTTGGTCTCCTGTTCCCTTTCCTCCCTGATACACTGCTTCCAGATTTACCTTCATCAATGGATTGAATTTCAGTTACTGCAACCTCATTTTCCCCATTGCCTGTGGAATAAAGTCCAAAATTATTTTTATGTTATTGACTTCTCTCCATAATCTCTTCCCTTGACTACTTCTCCCACCTCAGCATTCCACACACTAGGTACTTTAGCCAGCCTTGTCTGCTCACGGTACTCTAACTTGCTTGGTGTTCTCTGTGGCATCTGTGCCTTGGTGCTGGTCTCCCCTCTATTCTGTACTTGGAAAATCAATGCATGCCAAAGTTCAATAGAAATATTTCCTCCTCCATAAAGGTTTTCTGAATTAATCATTCATTCCTCTCTGTTACCACAATACCAGTTTTCCTCCCTGGCTGGTTATTTAAGTATGTGCATCTATCTCCATATATAGGAAGACTTGAATCACTTGCTGATGAAGATTAAACACTCTATAGATTACAACTCAGTGTAAAGAAAACCAAAATCCTCACAACTGGACCAAAAGGCTTCTTGATAAACAGAAAAGATTGGAGTTGTCAAGGAATTCATTTTGCATGACACCACAATCAATGCTCATAGAAGAAGCAGTCGATCAATCAAATGATATATTGCATTGGGCAGATCTGCTGCACAAGAGCTCTTTAAAATGCTGAAGAGTAAAGATGTCCTTTGAGGACTAAGGTGCACCGGACCCAAACCATGGTATTCTCAGTCGCCTCACATGTATGTGAAAGCTGGACAAGGAACAGGGAAGACTGAAGGAGAATAGACAGACTTGAATTATGGAGTTGGAGAACATTGGAAATACTGTGGATGCCAGAAGAACAAGCAAATTTGTCTTGGAAGAAGTACAGCCAGAATGCTCCTTAGAAGTGAGAATGGTGAGGCTCTGTCTAAAGACTGAACATGTTATCAGGAGAGACCAGTTCCTAGGAAAGGACACTGTGCCTGGTAAAGTGAAAGGCCAGCCAAAAAGAGGAAGCCCATGCAGGCGATGAGCTAGCACAGTGGCTGCAGCAATGGGCAGTACTGGCTGCACTGGTAATTAATGGCAGGCAGGATAAATAAATGTCGTTTTTTGACGTACCAGGAACAAAATTACTAGGCAAATTTATTTTTCAAACTTTGCTATTTTTAATATCTTGCTTTGATCATTGAGTGTTTCGACGTGGACCGTGTACACCATGGTGCTGCTCTAGCTTCATGACCATTGGTACGCTCGAGTATATTGATGCCGTCATTATGGATTTTGAGGGCCTTTCTACCTAGGGTGGGGGATTATCTTCTACGACTATATTGGGCAATGTTCTGCTGTAATCCAGAGTTCTTACTGACAAATTTTGGAAGCTTGCTCATCATCTGTCGTCATCTACAATTCTGGTCTGTTTTACTCTGTTAACCCTATTAAAACTTGCCCACCATAAGTGACCCTGTTGGTATTGGAATACTGATTGCATAGCCTCTGCCATCATAGCAGTACACAGTTCACCACAGGATGACTAACTGACAGACAGGAAGAGGCTTTCTGATACCATAGTAGTCGTGTCCTAAACAGAATACAAAATGTGTTTGTATCTGAATGTGTGTGTATGAATTGGCACACATGTAACATTGTACTATGTACTAGAAGATGCATTCTGATCATTGGACTCTGAATCATATTTTCACAAACTGAATGGACTGTGGAAGACTTTCCGTACTCATCGTCAATCATTTCTGGCAAACACAAAGGCACAACCTTTCTTGAGTATGTGTAGATTTTCACATATGACATCCATCTTGAACTTTTTGAAAAACCAAACTTTATAAGGCAGTATAACGTCTCGCACCTTTTCTTCTTATCTCCCTATAGAGAATTTCACTAGGCCAACTGAGGAATTAAATATGCTTCTTGCCAATATTGAAGAGGAAAGTGGAGAAGTCTGTACCATTGCTAGTGGTGTTAGATTGAGAAACTTGTCACCCCCAGCATCATTAAAAGGTAAAGAAAATTTGACTTGGTGTTTGTTCACTAGTATCTAGATTCCACGTTTGCTTTTTCTAGGATAGCTATCAATGAAAAGGGGGGAAGGAAAGATAATAAAAGACAAGTTACATTGAGTTAGTAAAGCGAGCTAGCCTTGCATCTCCAGTGTTCTGTGGGCAAGTTCAAATTGTGTGGCTGATGTGTGACACGCTGGTCAACATGTCCAGGAAGCCACAGGAGCTAGGATACTCAGACTTTGCTGAGAAGTCGAGACTGGAGATATGAATTATGATCATTGATGATGACCACTGAAATGAAACATATCTCTGGGGTGAGTAGATAGAAACCTAACTGCTAGGAGACTCCAGAAAACAGAGCAACTAAAAGAAAGAAAGA